ATCAGGTGGACATCTAAAACCTGTATGTTCTATCGTCACATCTCTCTTAGAGGCTTATATCATGGTAGAACACTGTGCATATTCCTCCGTCACTGATTTTTTCATCCCATATCCATTTCGGAGACTCGGCCGTGCTGACGCCTATTGATCTGGCGGACTCATTTGAACTGCGTAGAAGATTCCACTGGATATAAAGCAGTTAGGTTCCCCGCTTTCCTGTTGAGAAGCAGGTAGCGTCTCTTTGCTTTTCTGTCCCACGCTAAGGTGCATGGGCATCCGTGGACGAGTCCTCTGGCAGACGTGTGTTTCTCTGGGGTACCGCGGGAGGCGCTGTTGGTGTCCCATCCGGGTACTTTTTATCTGCATGTGGGTCCACCCCCTGGCTGCAGTCAGGGCTGATGCTGAGGGCTCATAGCTGCTCTCTTCCTTGTAAACTCCTCACCCAGGAAGCTCTAGCGCCCTGTGGGATAGCCCATGCCAGTGACTGACTAAAATGGGGTACAGCATATGGGCTCTTGCCTGAAAAAAAAGATCAACTCTGGTGTCATGAGTGTTCCCCAGTTCCCCTGGGGTCTGACTGAAGCTAATCTCTCACTGAGAACGCTTATTTGGCAGGGGGAGGTATTGGGGATTGAACCCAGGGGTGCTCTACCACTGAGTTACACCCCAGCCCTTTTGACTTTTTATTTTGAGACAGGATCTTGTTAAGTTGCTGGGGCTGGCCTTGAACTTGCTATCCTCCTGCCTCAGCCTCCCACCTGGCTGAGAACCCACCATTGCTTAGCACTTCCTCCCACAGTAAATGCATCGCGCTGCTCTCAGAACTGTCTCTCAATAAGTCACCTGCACTAGAATCTCCATCCCAGGTCCTGCTGGGAAACCTAACTCAAGGGCCACACACAGTGGTGGAGTTGCTGGGGTCATAAACTTGTTTAATGCTTACTAAGCATTTCCAAATTGCTCCACAAAGTACTTATGTCGATTTCATTCCCACCTGCAGTTTATAAATGTTGATGCTCCCCCATACCTTCATCAGTACTAGTGCTTTGCCAGTACTAGTACTCTGCCAATCAGATTGGTGTAACATGCTATCTGATTATTGTTTTAATTTGCATTTCCAAGTTTACTAGTTGAGAATCTCTTTCATATACTTTTGTGTGTGTGTCATGCTGGGGACGGAACTCAGGGCCTCGTGCATATTAGGCAAGTCTCTACTGTTGAACTAACCAGCCCTTTAGAGTTTTAAAAAATTATTTTGGGGCTGAGGTTGTACTTCAGTGGTAAAGCACTTGCCTAGCATGTGTGAAGCACTGGGTTGGATCCTCAGCACCACATATAAATAAATAAAATAAAGGTCCATTGACAACTAGAAAAAAAAATTTTTAAAAATTATTTTGGGGACCAATTCTGTTATCCAGTTTTCAAATGTTTTCACCTAGTCTGTGGCTTTTAAAAAACTATTCTTTTTTTTTGCATTATATAGACGTTCTTAATTTTAATGAAATAAAGCTTGTCATTGTTTATCATTTATGCTTTTTGTGTCTTATTTACCTTCTACTCTAAGATCATGAAGTTTTTTGGTCTATTTTCTTTCAAAAGTTTTATAATGGGTTGGGGATGTGACTCAGTGGTAGAACGCTTACCTATCATGTGTGAGGACCTGGGTTCCAGCCCCAGCACCACACACACACACACACACACACACACACACACACACTTACATTAGTCCTAGAGGTAAATTTTTCTGAAACTTATTTTGTGGGCCGTGTGAGCAGAGACCCAATCTGACCTTGTTCCACGGTATTCAGTTGTCCCAAGGTCATCCATCCACCAGACCATGCTCCACCCTTGGTTGTGTCCAAACGCCATATGCATTGGGGTCTGTCCCAGGGCATTATTTCCTGTTCTTTTTATCTGTTGATCTGTTTGGGGGTCAGAATCCAACTCTCCTCAGTACTGGAGCTTCGTGTTGATATCAGCGAGGGTGGGGCTCCCTTTCTCTTCTCCCTCTTTCTTCTTCCAAATTGCCCTGGCTATTCTGGGTTCTTTGTCATTCCATATATTTGGGGGGTGACCTTGTCATGTTTCTGGGGAAACTCTGCAGTGTGGTTCTTACTGGAAGTCTACCGTGCAGATACAACTGGGGGGAAACAGCCAACTTGCGTGGTCGAGGCTCCATCCTCTGGGAGGATGCCTAGAAAATGAGCCTCCAAATCTCCCATCCATCCCACAGTGCCCAACTAAAATGCTTCCTCCTCCAGGAAGCCCTTGGTGACAGTTCTGGGTGTCCGGGCTCTCCCTGGCCTCTTCGGACCCTCCATAGGCTCCGTTTCCTGGACCCTTAGCACAGTGGATCCAGGTGAGGTGCCCCTGCGTGCCCTCTGCTCCTCCACCTAGTCTCTAAGCTCTAAAGATCAGGGCTGCGTCTCGCTCAGCTTTGTACCCCGAGTGGCACTCAGCACACAGTAGGTCTTCTATAAGTCTGATGGCTGGTTTTTAAGGGAAGAGAGGATGTGGGCATAGGATTTTCCTCCTAGGAAGCAGCTGGTCTCCTGGTGGGCTTGAAATGGGACAGATGGAGCTTCAGGTGGTGGTTCTGCCACACAGGGCGCTGGCCTGACGTGCTTTTCCCCTATTGATTCTCCATGTTCCCACTTGCCCTAGCAGGAGATGCGGTACTTGCTCATCCCCATGACGGCTGAGCATCTTCCCCCAATGTCCCAGCCATTGACTCCAAGGACATAATTGAGTTCTGCTGTGCCCCTGTCTCCCGCCAGCCTCTCCTGCCACCACCCTGGCTGCTGCTGCTGCACCCTCTGCTGCAGAGAGGAGGTGGATCTTTGGATCCTGATGTGATTACCGACAAGCCCACACCTTCCCTTCCTGCCCCACAGTCCTTGTTCCCAGGAGCTGCTCCTTCCTCATGTGGTCCTCCACCAGCGGGTGGCTTTCCTCCCCAGGGGTTGGTGGCAGGGCAGTGCCCAGCTGAAAGGGATTGTGCTGCAGGTTAAGCCGGTCCCCACTCCACGGTGCGCATGCTGGGAGTGAGAACCTGGGCCTGGGMGAGCTCGGGGTCGAGCGGGAGCACTGGCTGCGCCATCCCCGCCCCATGCCTGACTTGAGGCAAGTTGAGCCCCGTGAGCCTCGACCTCTCCCCAGGTGAAACGCGGGCACCTTTTCTCCCTCCCGGGATAGAAGAGAAGCCCGGAGGAGAGGGGTGCTCCTTCCCTCCCAGGAGGGACAGAAAAGTGCGGACACAGGCAAAGATGAGGCAGAATTTATTTTCATTGTAGTTAAGTTCAAGACTCAGGATGGGGACCACAGAGAGGCAGGCCCCTGGGACCCCAGGGGGACCCGCTCCTGGGGCAGGGGCCACACTTTTGCAAGTGCCAGGCCCACGTGTTCCCACACGTGACTGTCAGGATCCCGAGCGCAGAAACCAGGTGAGAGCGGGGTGGGCGGAAGACAGGCTCCTCGGCTCCGTCCTGACCACGTTTCCCCTTCCATAGGAAGGAAGAGCAGCTCGGCCCAGAGCGCAGAGCGCAGGGGGCAGGGCGAGCTGCCGCGGCACCGGGACCGCTGAGACCCCCGAATTATTGCAGGGGGGAGAGGGGGCTCAGTGCTGGTGCCTCCGCAGTAGCTGTGCTGGCTATGGCGAGGGGCGGGGCAGGGGTGCGCGGCGGGCCCCTCCCTCTGGGGAGCGCAGGGCACCCGGTGGCGTTCCTTGGGTCCTGCCTGCCAACCCCCCGGGATGGGGCTTTCTCACCCTGGGTGCTTTTTATGTGCTTTGAAGACCATTTTTGCATTGTCAGGAGTGAGGAAAAATATTCCGACATAATAGAAAACGTATTTACATACCCTGGTGGGCCGTCAGGGGGAGGGTCAGATGGCGAGGGGCGGGGCTTCCCTGGCCCCTCCCACCGCCCGGGGCCAGGACCGTGAGAAGGGCCCTAGGCTGGAAGGACAGAGGCCCCAGCTCCGAAGCTGAGCTGCTGGGGGCCTGGGGCGAGCAGAACCCCTTGCGGCCCCATCTGCACCGGTGGGGAAGCGGGGCCTGGAGCTGAGTGGCCAGGACCTTTGTTCTCTGATCCTGGGCACCGGTGGGACAGGGGGCAGGGGGTAGGGGCAGGGCGGGCAGTGAAAGGTTGGCCAAGGGGCTGCCACTTGAGGACACCTTGGCGGTGGGGGAGGATGGGCCTCAGACAGAGGGAAGTGGACGCCCCGGCCCTGGCCAGGCAGCCAAGTCCAGCTGGGTGCGTCTGTGTTCCTTACTGTGATGCCTACATGAAAGGTGGCCAGGGGACTGGCCGGGAACCCTGTTTTCCTGTTGAGCAGTGGGGGAAGCCAGGTGGGGGCTGCAGGTGGCCCCCAGCTGCAGGGGAGGCCCGGACCTGAGATGCAGCGGGGTGGGCTCTCCCAGGCAGCAGGAGGGTGGGCCTGGTGCTGGTGAGGTTCAGAAGTGGCCCCTGGCTCCAGCCTCCAGGCATGTGGGCAGTGCCACACCCTGGTCCCTGCTCACATGCCTGTCACACCTCCTCATTCATGACACATCACCCACTGTCACCCACATGTGGCCCCAGCCTTAACGGATGAGCACAGGCATCACAACACGTGCGCGTCTGTGCTGGGAACTCACTGGGGACACGCTGTTCACATGGCCCAAGGCCTTGTGGGAACACAGTGGGCATGTTCACACACAGAGCCAGCAACAGCATTTCTGCTGGACCCTGTGGCATTGAGGCCCTGGGGTCTGGAAGAGAGAAGGCCCTCTGTCCCCGGGGGCAGGTGACCTCCACACTGGGCACCAAGGACCCCTCCCCAGGTGCCTGACCCCTGTAACTCTGGGTCCTGCGGTGGAGCCTTCAGCCTCTCCAGTGCCTGAGAGGAGGGCAGCAGCGACGCTGGGCGGGGACCTGGGACCACCCGACTGCTGATAGCCCAGCACGTCCTCTGACCGCTGGTGTGACCTAGGCTGATGCTGTCCAGCTGGTGGCCATGAGTCAGAGATGCCGGCGGGGCCCCTGGGTGCTGGTCAGCTGGGCCCGCATGGTCTGGATGCTGCCCAGGATCTTCTTCTGGTGGCCCATGAGGGTGATGCCCAGGGCACGCACATCCCTGTGAAGGAAGTGAAGGGCTGACCAGGGCACCTGGGAGGCCAGGAGCCAAGAAGACAGCACCAAGCCCAGCCCCGAGCCCACCCCAGCTCTGCTCCAGCATCTGCTGTCCGTCCACCCTCTGAGGACCCGGCCGGCTCACTCACTGGGCGTCCATGCGCAGCACCATGCCGAGGGAAGAGTACCCGCCAGCCGCGAAGTGGTCCCGGTACCGGCCCATGCGGATGGAGTCCAGCCAGTCCCCCACAGTGAGGCCCCCGCCACCACTGCCCCCTCGGAGGTCAAAGCAACTCCTGGCAAATGCAGGGGGCAGGCACCTGAGGCGCAGGGGACCTCAGTCAGTGGCTTGCCAGGCTGTGGCCACCCTTGGCTCCACCCCAGCTCAGCAGTGACCAGAGGGTTCCCCAGGTCGGACCCCAGGAAGGAGAGGACTGAGGAAGGGACCAGGCCGGGCTGGGTGTGGCCCAGGGCTCAGGGCCTGGATTCGGTCAGGCAATGCGGGGGCAGTTCTGGGAGGTCAGCTGGGCCGCCTGAGTGTGGGGGTGGCTGCCAGGTACCTGCCGGCCGTGGCCGTGGCCCTGAGACTCTCGGGGCTGCGGATCAGTGCATCGAGGACACTGACAATGTGGGAGAATCGCGGCCGCTGGGCCCGGTCCTTCTGCCAGCAGTCCAGCATGAGCTGGTGCAGGGCGCGGGGGCAGCCCATGGGCGCAGGCAGGCGGTACCCCTCCTCCACGGAGCTGATGACCTGGGGGCACAGCGCTGGTCAGGACGGGCCTCCCGCGGGCTCCACAGCGCCCCCACCAGCGAGGCCCGGCACTCACGTCCCGGTTGGTCATGTTCCAGTAGGGCCTCTCCCCGTAGGCCAGCACCTCCCACATGACCACGCCGAAGCTCCACACGTCACTGGCCGAGGAGAAGGTCCGGAAGGCGATGGCCTCGGGCGCCGTCCAGCGGATGGGGATCTTTCCTCCCTGCGATGGGCACAGAGTGTGGAGGGGCTGCTCAGGCCCGGCTGGGGGGGGCGGGTCCAGGCTTCTGCCCTAGCCCAGGCCAGGGGGCCAGGGGTTCTGTTCCCCAGTCTCATGGAGGACACTCGGCCGCTACCTTCCAAGAGCGCATGTTCTGAGCAGGGAGACCCACCTCTCAGAGCCCCTCTGGGGACAGTGAGCCAGGTGCAGAGTGCCGGGCAGTCAGGTCAGTGCCTGAGCCAGCAGGGGACGCCTGGTCCCTTTCTAGTCCTCTGTCCTCCTCCTCCTCGTTTTTTGGGTCATGGAATCCTTCCTCTGTGTGAAACCTGACCCAGGGGCCAGGTCCAAAGGGCAGCCTGCTGGGGCCACGGTGGGCCACACCCTGCCACTCCATCTGTTTTAAGGCGGGTCCCAAGGCACCTGGGCAGAAACCCGAATCTCCACCCAATACCCTGGGATGAAGCTGGTTTTCAGCCAAACTCTAGAAACAGGCGCAGAGTCTGTGATTCAGAGATGCCAATGAGAGTGAGTGACCGCTGGCCCCAGCCCAGCGTTTCCCCAGGTGCCTGGTGATGAAGGAGAGGAGGCCAGTTTGTCCCTGTTTCCCGGAGTGGGAATCTGGGGTGGAAAAGGGGAGACAGGGCTTTCCCCACATTGAAGGCACCCTGGATGGACCCTGCCGCTCTCCCCAGCCTGGACTGGGGCAGCCCACCTGCCACCTTGTCCCCAGGGGAGGGGCGCAGGCGACGCACCGTGGTGGTGTAGGCGGCATTGGGGTCGTCCTCCAGCACCCGCGAGAGCCCGAAGTCCGACACCTTGCACACCAGGTTGCCGTCCACCAGGACGTTGCGGGCAGCCAGGTCACGGTGGATGTAGCCCAGGTCTGAGAGGTAGCGCATGCCGGCGCCCACGCCTCTGAGCATGCCCACCAGCTGCGTGATGGTGAACTGTCCGTCGTGGGTCTGTGGAACACACAGCGCAGCATGTCATGGGCTGGGGGCGCCCCGCCCGGCGCCTGGTCCCTGGCCAGGAGTCCTTCTGTGTGAACGACCCTCAAGCCCTGGATGTGCCTCTCTGCTTCCAGAGCTCCTAGGGGTCAAGGTTCATCCTGGCGTCTGATGGGCTCCCAGCAAGCCCGAGCCAGCCTGGGAGGTCGAGGGCTGCTCGTCCATTTTGCATAAGGAGAAATGAAGGCCCAGAGAGGTTCAGCCCTGGGCCTAACAGCAACCAGCAAATACACAGCAGGGCGGGAGCTGGGGACCCCCCACGTCCTCCCGGCTGGTGGCACAGGCAGCCTCAGAGCCCACAGAGACACCCCTCAGCCTGGGGGAGGACCCTGGGAGCAGGGGACTTTCGTGATGGGGACCTGCCTCCCCTTTCCCCAGGTGTGTGGGTGCAGACTGGGGGTGGGCTCGGAGGGCTCCCCTCCCCCGGCCCGCGTGGGTGGCAGGGCAGGGCACGCACCCTCAGGAAGGCGTCCAGAGAGCCGTTCTCCATATATTCCGTCACGATCATTGCCAGGCGGCCTGGACAGGAGGGGAGACGCTGGCTCTTGTGGGGGACAGGGCGCCGATCAGAGACCCTAGGAGTGCACCCCACCCCCAGAGTAATCCGGAGGGCAAGGAGGGGCAGGGTGGCCCAGGGATGGACTCCGAGCCCTCTCTGGGCAGGAGGGCCCCTGCAGGCTGAGGCTGCCCTGGCCCGCCACCTACCACGGGTGACGACGCCCTCGAGGCGGATGACGTTGGGGTGGTCGAACTGGCCCATGATGGAGGCCTCGCTGAGGAAGTCCCGCCGCTGTCTCTCCGTGTAGCCGGCTTTGAGGGCCTTGATGGCCACGGGCACATCCCGCTGCCCCGGCACCCGCAGTCGCCCATAGCAGACTTCTCCGGACTCCCCTGTGGACCCCGAGAGGGCAGGCAGGGGGCAGTGGGACCCTCCTCTGGCCCTGGTCCCCTGCCCCCAGCCTCACACGCCCGCAGGCCCCTCTCCCTCTGCCCTGGGTCCCCCTTCCTGGTGACCCTCCGTGCTGTCCCCTCGCTCACCGGAACCGATGACCTTCTCGATGTGGACCCTGGAGGCCTCGATCTCCCGGGTGAAGCCTCGGCCCGCCCGGCCCGGCTCCTCGTAGGTGTGCGGCTCGGCGCAGCACTGGGGCTCCGGGAGCTTCCCCGGGGGGCGGTGCAGGGGCAGAAAGACCGGGGGTGGCGCTGCGGGGCGGGGAGAAGGGCCTCAGTGGGGCTCGGGAGGGAGTCCCCCCGGCCTTCCCTGGGCCAGGGACGGGTCTGGGGTGCAGTGAAGGGCATCTCTGGGAGCCTCTGCAAACAGTAGGCACTCTGTAAGTGCGTGCTAAGTGACCATGGGGTCGTTATGGAGTAGCGCTGGAGTCTGGGACTCCAGGGGCTTCTGAGGGCGTCCCTTGTTTTCCGGGGTCCCTGGTAGAATTCTTGAGCTCTTTCTGAATTGTTCTGGGGTGGGAATACACCGCGCCCCCAAAAGAAACAGTTTTGCTGGAACTGCCAACTCTGAGGCTCCCAGAGTCTGTGCTGAGAAGGATTCGGAGGCTGCGCTCAGGCCTGATGGGAACCGGAACCAGGACTGACCTGTGGCGCCCAGGAGCGGGGTGTGCGGACAGGCGTCCCCACATCCATGGGGAGGTCTCTCTGACAATCTCTCTATAGTGGGGTCCTGTCCAAAGTGTATGAGCCCCCAAAGTCACTTGCAGAGCACACAAATGACACTCCACTCCCCTGGGAGAGGTCCCCGTGTCCTCCAGGGGTCCCTGGTCCAGGAGAGGGGGCAGCGCTGGTGTCCAGGGTTGGCTCTCTGGGGCGCCCGGCACCTGTCTCTGGCTCAGCCTCTCCGCGGGCACTGTCCCCTCCCCACCGTGCGGCCCTGCCCGGCACCAGGCCCGGCGCTCACCCTGGCCGCTCTGGTACTGCATCTTTTCCTCGTCCGAGTCCTGGAAGGCCTTGCTGTAGCCACAGTGCCTGCGGAGGACGGTCACGGCTCTGCCTGGGCCCAGGCCAGCCCCTGCCCTGTGTGGAGTCTGCAGGGGAGAGTCCCCGTCCTCCACCCAGCTGAACTGTGACAGCTGTCCAGTCACAAAGCAGTTTACAGTCTATGAGATGCCCTCGAGCCCAGCTCACCCACCCGGCAAAGCCCCGTGGACATGAAACCCTGCCGGGGGGAGGGGACCCCGCTGGGCGACCCTGGTGGGCCCCTGGCTCTCTCCAGTCATTGAATGGTCCACACTCAGCACTCTTCACAGGGGAGAGGGACCGAGAGCACCATCTCGTTCAACAGGCCTAAGTTCATGTCCCAGCTCTGGTACTCATCAGCTGTGTGAATTTTGCAAGTAGCTCAGCCTCTCTGGTCCCCAATTTACTCACCTGCACAATGAGGCCAGAATCTCTACCTTGTTGGAATGTCATGGGGATTAAATGAGGTGACGGGTTTGTAACATGAGCCGGCCCCAGGTACCTGGGGGCCACTGGCTCAGTGGGGCTGGGGACGGGGGGAGGTGCAGTGCTAGAGGGGCTCAGGGTGGCATGGGGGCCAGAACCACCCACCTCTTCTTGCAGATGAGCAAAAGCAGAAGCACCACCAGGCCCGAGATGAGCGTCAGGCAGATCCAGACGATGGTCCGGGTATCGTAGCGGGGCCCTGCACGGGGAAGCCAGGTGGAGGACCCTGCCTTCAGCGCTGGCATCGGGTGACCCTGCCCCGGGCCCAGTGGGCACCTCCTCAGCCATGAGCCAGCCTTTGGTCCCCACCTGCCCTCCTCTAACCTCCCTGAGAGTCCCTGCTGCCCCAGCTGTCCAGCTGCAGTCACCGCTTGCTGGACAGGGGACCTAGGGGTCTCACTTTACTTCTCAGAGGCAGATACAGAGGAGTCAAGCGCACAGCCATCCTGCCTGCCTCGCTCCAGGACCAGGATGGACTGGGCTGAGAGCCGTCCCCACAACTCGGCGAGCCCTCACCAGAGCCCTTCCGGGGAGGTCTAAGGATTATCTTGTTTCCCGATAAGAAAACCGAGGTTCAGAGAACTCAAGCAACTTCCTCGAGGCCACACAGTATGGGGGACGGAAGCGGGCAGGATCCCTGCCTCCAGTCTGAGCACTTGAGACACACGGGTGGCAGGGGAGTGCCAGGTGGGCGGTCACTTAGTCTGTCCTGTGGCTAGGAGAAGACCTCCGCTGGCCAGAGCCTCAGGCGATGGACATGAGGGTCAGCCTCTGTGTCAGTGGTCCCCAAACTCGGAATGCTTCAGGACCCCGAAGGCTTAGGAGGACCCAAATTGCTGGGCCCCGCTTCCCAGAGTTTTTGATTCAGAGCGGGAGGGGGCTGAGCACGAGCATTTGTAATCAGCTTCCAGGTGCCGGCCACGCTGCAGGTCCCAGCAGAACCTGGGGAACGCCTGCTGGGCGGGGCCTTGGAGCCGGATGACACGGGGGAGGGCCTGGGATTGGGTCCCCCCCCCCGTCCTGTGCTGTGAACCCCCTCACTGCGCTGACCCTGACCTCCCTGTCTATACCAGGGGACCCACCAACGCGGCCTCGGGGACAGATACAAGTCCTGCCGGCCAGGGCCTCAGGAGGCTCAGCAGCAGCAGCTGGGGACGGGCTGTCTGCTCTGTGGCCTTGGGCAAGTGCCTTTCCTTCTCTGAGCCTCAGTTTGTCACCGGTGGAGACGCTGCCCGCTGTCCCACTGGTCCCCCGCCCGCCAGGCCCGGCCGCACTCACGGGGCTTCCCGGTCTCCACCTCCACGGCCCGGCTGAAGCGGCCACAGCCCGCCGACGTGCGCGCCCGCACCTGGAACACGTAGCGCGTGCCCGGCTTGAGGCCCGACACGGTGGCCCGGGTGGTGACGGCCTTGAGGGTGGAGTAGCTCTGCATCTCCTTGTCCTGCAAGGACAAGGGCACGGACAAGGACCGGGACGAGGCAAGGGCGGGAGGGGGTCAGCGGGCCGCCGCCTACCTTCTCGTAGTACTTGACCTCGTACTCCAGGATGATGCCGTTGGGCTGCTCCGGCTCCTGCCACAGCAGCGACACGCTGGTCTGGCCCGCGCGCTCCTGCCGGATCACCACCACCTGGGACGGGGCTGGGCGGCCGCCCGGCGGGGGCGTGGGTGCGGCGCCATCGGGACGTCCCCCCGCCCGGGGGGCCCAGCTCAGCCCCTGACCGCCCCGCCCAGGGCATCCGCCCCGCAGAGCGCCGTGGCCTCCCGGGTCAGCCAGAGCCTCGCCTGGCTCCCGTCTAGGACCCGCTGGACTTGACCCAGACAGGCCCTGGGGGAGCAGGGCCCAGGAGAGGGAGAGGGACAGAGGGGAAGAATGGAGGGGCCACCCTCAGTGCGAGTCCCCAGGAAGGGGCAAGGGCAGGGGCTGAGCCGTGTCCTCCCTGGCTGGCCAGCTCACCGTCCCCTCCCTCCCCACCAGTGCCATGACCCTGAGGTGACACACACAGGACTGCCCCCTGCTGGCCCTGACTCTGCCCCACACCCCGTGCCCCCCGCCTGCCCCACCTGGCCAGCTCGGCCCTCACATCTGACGACCCGTCTCCCCAGCGTGCCCGGGAGTCCTGGGAGGCAGGGGCCACAGAGTAGGAGCCCAGTAAATGCTGCTGGTGACAGGAAACGTTCAGAACAAAGTGCAGAGTCGCATCTGGGACAGGAAACGACCCCAGCCTGGGGTCAGGGTGGCTCCGCACCTGGCTCGCTCTCTCCCTAGCGGGGACCCTGATGAAGCCGCTGCTTCATCCTGTAGAGTGGACACTGGGCGCTGTCCATGGCTGATGGGTCTYGTGCTCCTCCCTCCACCTGGACCACCGGCCACCTGCCTCGGTGGCCCTGTCAGCAGGTGGGCAGGGCAGGGCCGTGAGCCCCCAGCACAGTGCCCCGCATGGCTGCTGAGCCAGGGGGTCTCCCGGTGGGCGAAGCTGAGGTGTCACAGAGGTGCCCACTTGGTGGGGAGGCTGCTCCGCTCGGCCATGAGACAGACCTGCGTCTCCCTACGTGGGTGACACTGGGTGGCTCTGGGGGTCTGGGGAAAGTGTGCTGGGCCAGGCCTGCGTGGGGCTGGGGAGAAGCCCGAGGGGCCCCAGCACACTCCAGATTGGGCTGGTGGGGACACACTTGGGGGTGGCCATCTGGGGACTCTGAGGTCACTGTGCCGCCTGGCAGGCAGGACCCCCCAGAGTCTGCAGAGAGCTTCCAGGGTCTCAATGCAGCCCAAGGACTGGCCAGAAACAGATAAATGGCCGAGGTCAAGGCCAGTGTCACCAAGTCCTTCCCAAGGGCAGCCGAGGCAGCTGCCCTGGAAAAGGGTCATCAAAGTGACGTCATCTTCTGATGACATTTACTGAGGATGTGCCACGGGCCGGGCGCTGGCTGAGAGCTTCTCCATCTCTCTCTGAAGCCTCACAACAGTACCACGCAGCCGTGGTGGTCAGATACAGAAAGTTCTGGAACGCAGGCCTGCCAGGCCACGCAGCCTACCTCTGCTTTCTGGATTCCTCCCTCGAAGAACATTCTCTACTTTTCTTTCTCTTTTGGTACCAGGGATTGAACTCAGGGGCACACGACCACTGACCCACATCCCCAGCCCGATTTTGAACTTTATTTAGAGACAGGGTCTCACTCAGTTGCTCAGGGCCTCGCTCTTGCTGAGGCTGGCTTTGAACCTTCGATCCTCCTGCCTCAGCCTCCGAGCCACTGGGATTACAGCCGTGTGCCACCGCCTGGTCATTCTATACTTTTCTAAGAAAAGAAGACCCCAGCTCTGGGTCCTAGTAGAGTGGACATGCCCAGGAGAGGCGGCCAGTTGCCCAAAGCCCACCGCGAGTCTGTGCCGGGCTCTGACCCCCCGGGTGGGCACGGGTGGGCCGGGAGCTGGGAGGAGCGTCTCCGCCTACCTGCCTGGTTGGTGGTGATGTTGACGATGGCCGCCCGGCGGGGCTCGGGGCTCAGGTCRGACACGCCGTTGACGGCCTCGATCCAGAAGGAGTAGTTCATGTGGGCCAGCAGGTTGGCCACCAGCAGGCTGGCCTGCACCAGGCTGGTCTGCTGGGGCACGAAGCGGGTGCCACTCCCACACGCCTCACAGTGGCTCAGCGCCCAGGGGCAGCGGCGGCACACGGCGTTGTAGGTGATGTCACTGCGGCCACCTGGGTCCAGGGGAGGGGCCCATTCCAGGGTCACAGATGTCCCATTTACGCTGGAGATGAGGTTCACTGGTGCAGAGGGTGGCCCTGGGGGACAGAGGAGGACACACAGGGACGCTGGGCTGGTCCAGTCTCCCCAGCCTCAGACCAGGGGCTTCCCGGGGGAAGGACTCCCCCACCAGGGTGAGGGGTCCCTGAGGCTAAAGTCACCTCTGCTCCACCTGGAGGTCCCCGCAGGCAGAGGCTGTGTCTGCCATCAGACTGGCACAGGGACCTAAGCAGGACCACGGGGACCTAAGCAGGGCCACGGGGTCCTGGGTGGTGCCGCCCTGGTTTCCTCCAGGGCTAGAGGGAGGTGGCGTGGTCCTGGGTACCCACAGCACGTGGAGTGCCCGCCATTTGCACCCCGCCCTCACCCCCACCCCTGGGCTGGACCTGAGTGAAACACCACTGAGCACCCGGTGAGGCCAGGACCCCACCAAGTGTCCCCTGTGGCTGTCACTCTGTCACCCTGGCCTGGAGGCCAGTCTGGGCAGCACAGACTTTGGAGAAAGAGGGTGACCACCTGGTGGGGCCGACTTCGGGGTGGGGTCTGAGCAGGAGGCATGGGGGCTGGGGGACCCYGGGCCTCAGAAACCCAACCCTGGGAACTCCAGGCCGGAGCCACAGGACCTCAGGGTCACAGGCTCGCCATCACCAGAGGGGACAGTCTTAAAGCCAGAGCGGGGTGGACACGAGGAGCCCGCATCCCAGGCTCAGATGCTCCAGTGTCTAAAGCCAGAGTCCRGCCAGGTGCATGGACGTGACTCAGCCAGGCTCCCCCTGTCCCCAGGGCCCAGGGAGYGTACAGTTGTCACCAGGCCAGCAGCCGTCCCTTCTGCCCCAGGGGGCCCCACATGGGGACACACACAGGTCTGGGCAGAGCAGCAAGGGGGGGCACTGTGTGGCCCCCGTGGTGTGAATACACCTGAGCCCTCCCACCGGTGCCCGGTGCCTGGRGCTGGGTGGGCACAGGGTGGCAGTGGGGGGGACCAGGCCGGGGCAGATCCAGGCAGAGTCAGAACCCTGAGTGCTGGGCACCCCGGGAGAGCCGGGGCTGGCAAGTGGGGGGCCTGAGGGGGCTGAGCCCCAGGCCAGGGTCAGTGTGGGCAGGGCCAGAGCTGGGGGGCCGTGGCAAGACAGCCAGAGGCACTGCAGGCGCCACTGTCCCCGTGCCAGGCTAACAAGGTACGCGTCTCAGCCCCTCGGGTGCCCTGACGCACCCCCCACACCCAAGGAAGCCTCCCCCGAGAGCCCAGGCGCTGCCCTCTGTAGAGCCGCTGCCACGGCAGGAGGCCACCCCGCAGCATCCCGACGCACCCCAGGCGCACCTCCACGCACACACACTCTGCACACACMCCCCACCCGCGAGGCACTCCCACACACAACAGCCCCATGGTCCACCAGGTGCTGGGGCTGGGGGCTCAGCCCGGGGAAAYGCCCTGGCCTGCCACCCAGACCCCCGTGGGAAGATGATGGGCGCGGTCCGGCCTGCCCCTGMCCTCCGGAGCAGACCGTGGAGGGGTGGAAGGCTCCCTGGGGAGATGGCAGGTGACAGGTGACCAGAGGCTGGGAGCCCAGAGAGGTCAAGGCCACTGTGAGGGGCGGAGTCCCGCCCCGCCCCAGCCTGGGCCCTGGCCCCACAGAGCCCTGGGGACCTCACCGGGCTCTGGCCTGGGCGCTACTCACGGGTGCAGGCTGCAGAAGGCGGGTCCAGGGCCGCCCGGTAGTAGCTGAGGTCACAGCGGCAGGCCTGGGCAGCCGGGGCTGCGGAGTGGCTGTGGGGCGGGCAGCGGGCACACAGCTGGTCCCCAGGGGCTGACTTGTAGAAGCCCAGCTCACAGGCTGTGGGGGAGAAGCATCTGTGGGTGAGTTAGCCAGGCCACCCGGCAGGCCTCTGGCAGCTGTGACCCAGGGCTTCCTGGGGGATCCCCTGAGGGGCCGAGGGGCAGAAAGTCAGCCTCACCCATGATGCTGATGAAGGGACTGAAGCACAGAGAGGGTCTGTGACTTACACAGGGTTGCACAGCATGTTGGGGGCAGAGCTGAGGTGGGACCCTGACACCTGCGTCCCCACCCCAAAGAAGGCAGAGTTGACACAGCCCTACCCCCGAGCTTCCCCACATCCCCCCTCCTCCTCCTCCAACAGGCCTTCCTACCCCTTATCCAGCCTCAGAGTCTGTCCTTCATAGGACACCAGTCCCAAGGGGTTGAAGGTGGAAGGAGGGGCTTGGGGGGGAGTAAAAGCCCAACAGGGAATGGGGGTGGGCAAGAGAAGAGTCCCAGGTGGAAGATTCCAGGTCCCCAAGGCAGACACGGAATCACCCCATAAAATCACAGACCCCCGGCSCCTCCCCAGGAGCCAGGCCTGGGGACTCTGTCTCACACGCTCCCCAGGCCAGGCCCCGCCCGGGCCCACGTCACCTCTGCGGTCCTGCCGTGAGCTTCGTCCCTTCTTGCATGAGGCAGTGGCCTCCGAACCCCCCAGCCCTGCTCCCCACTCCCCACTCCAGCTGCCAGCGACCCCAACCTCTGCTCAGGAGCACCGCCTGGGCCAGGCTGGTTCTGGGCCCCAGAGAYGTGGCAATAGACAGAGCCGGATGTCAGAGGTCCAGCGCACAGTAGGTCTGTCCAGGAGGGCGACACGGGAGAGCAGGCCTGGGTTGAGGGAATTTCTAAAACGCACACCTGCTGTCGCTGCCTGGTCAGCCCCTCACGGGCTTCCCTGTGGCCTAAACGAGAAAGCCTGGCGTCCACATCCCTCTCTACCAGACCCAGGCCTACCTGCAGGTTCCTTCACCCCCCACCCTTTGGCCAAACTCAATGAATGGCGGCTGCCCGGGTGTGGCAGGCTGTTTCCTGCCTCAGGGCCTTGGCATGTGCCAAGTCTTCCTGGGATGCCTTTCTTCCAACGTCTAACTCCTCTTTCAAGAGTCATTTAAATGTCCTTTGGGGCAGCCTTCCTGGACCATGGCGCTGAGCCAGGCCCGGCCACCTCCCGGCCACCTCCCRGCAGCCGCCCTCCTCCACCTGCGCACCGGTCCCTGGGCTTTGAGGTGGCCGCRCCACCCTGTCACCTACCAGCGGGCATTCCGCACACGCTCAGCTAATACCCATCTGGCTCTACGTGTCAGGGCCAGATTAATCCACGCAGTGAAAATAAAATCGTCTTTAATAAGAATCCTAATCACCAGGCCTCAGGGGGCCGGGACCTGGGCAGATGGAGGAGCCCGGCCGGGCCTGGCCCCGCCGCCCAGGGTGCTTCCGCAGCCCGCCCTCATGGGCCGGGCACCGGGCCTTGGGCCAGGAGGGGCCCTGCCCCTGCTGAGGGCACCTTGCCCAGGCCACCTGCAGGCTGGCAGCTGCCTGCGGCCCCGGCCACCTCTCYGCTGTCCTCTGCAGAGAGCTGGAGATTTGACAAATAAGGTGTCCGCCTGCGGCCGGCCAAGGAAATTAATTCTCSATCAGCTTTTAAACACAGTCAGGAAGGCACGGAGGGCCGCCCGCTCCCCTCCGGAATGAGGCGCTGATATTTATAGAAAGATGATCAGGGCCGCAGAGGGTRATTTATATCCTGCGTCCAGGTGACAGGAAGGACGGCCACCGAGACTTCAGTCCCCGAGATGCCACTCCACCAGGTGATGTGTCCTTCCCCTTTCTGGAGGAGTGGGGGAGAGTGCAGTGGGGTGTCCGGGGAGGTCTCTGGGTCAGGATCGGGGAGGTGTTCCCAGGTGTTCTTCCTGATCGGGGAATTGGGGGAGCTGAGACACCGCCCACCCCTCCCTGCTGTGTGCCCCTGAGCCAGTGTCTTGGCCTCTCTGGGCCTCCATCTCCCACCGGTAAAATGGACGAGCTGCATATGGCTCTGACGTTCTTCCACGGGTCTCTGAGTTCTGAGTGCATCTTAGCAAAGCCTCTGAAGAGCCCTGAGACCTGGTAGGGCCTCCTCCTCCTCCTCCTCCTCCTCCTCCACTGTCTTCCTCTGTGAATCTCAGGGGCTGGGAGATATCACAGACATTACCCCTGTCCCAACCCTTCCTCTCCAACAGGAGGTCCCGAGACCAGCCAGGGGCCACGGTCCTCGGGAGGTGAAGACCCACGGGGGAAGCTCTGAGGACATCCCAAGTGGCCCAGGAAAGACACCCTGGGGYCGTCCCCAGCTCCTGCTCGGCTCAGGCTGTCCATCAAGGGGGGGCTGAGGCCTCACAGAGGGGGGGTCTTCCYGGGGGCAGGAGGGGACGCTGGTGAAGGCCTGGGTGAGGGGCCCGTGCTGCTCTTTCCAACTGGAGTGACACAGACAGTCACAGAAGCCACCAACAGGGCAGAAAATGTCTCTCCTCGTGTGGCTTCAAACTGGCTTCCCTTCCCAGATCTCCCTGCCTGCAGTGCGCTCAGAACTAATATTTTTTATTAAAACCTGTAATTATCTTGCAACCAGCATAATCACGTTGTATTATGATTTCAATGTAAGATTCAAGGTACGCTGTGATTCCCGAGCCCTGCCCTGGCCTTTCTTTATTATCTTTCATTAATGCGCCGGCATCGTCAGGAAAGGGGAGCCGCGCTGGCCTCGCCCGGCCTCGGCAGGGCCTGGACTTTCTGCCGGGAGCCCTGCCCTGGGTGTGCTGGGGACCGGGGCAGGCGGGGACTGGGCAGGCGGGGACTGGGCAGGCGGGGACAGGGCAGGTGCACTCCTGCTCTGGGCTCCATTTCCCACCAGCGACAGGAGGAGCGTGGAGCATCTCCCAAGAGCCCGTGAAGTCAGGAGGCAGGTGTGCGTCCCCGGGCCAGCGTGTCTCGGTGCGCGTGGGACAGATGGCTGGCGGATTCACGCTCCCTCACGACATCCAGAGCTGGGCGGCCGCTGTCCCTGAGCCGCTACGCACAGGCCAGCCCAGTCAGCCTGGCCTCTGCGGGATCAGTCACTGACCCTCTGGGTGAGACCCGGGGAGGGCAGGGGGCTTTGGAGAAGACTCTGTGGACAGAGGAGGCAGCTCGGCGCCGTGGAGCCGGGAGCCCCGGGTGCCATCGCACTCTGCCATTAAGGTTGGGGGCTTCGGGTTTGTCATCTGTGAAGTGAGGACCTGAGGCCTGGCTCGGAGGGCCACGGTGAAGATGAGAAACTCCTCCTCAAAGGCAGGCCTCCTGCCCCGGCCCTTGGGGCCTGTCAAATATAGACACGCAGGCAAAGAGGCAGCCCACCTCACGGGAAGAGCATTTACTACACGGCACACACGACAACACTTGAAAACCTGTCACGAAACGACTTGACCATCCCCGTCACAACAGCAGGACGCCGGGAGCTGGCGGTGGCAGGGAGGGCCACCAGGAGCAGGCTGGGTGGGGTTCAAGGCCGCGTTACCTCCCGCGCCTCAGTTTCCCCATCTAYAAGATGGAGCTGTAAAGTCAGCAGAGAACCGAGCTGTGAGGCTGGGGAGGCAGCCCAGCAGCCAGGCGGGAGCACACGGAGGCGGTGGAGGGTCAGCAAATCAGGGAGGAGCCATCGCCACTGAAGGAATTCAGAGCCCAGCAAGGTCAAGACTGGGGGCAGTCAAGGGCGTGGCGAAAGGTTTCTCAAGGAAACCAGGAGAGGGCCTGGGGCCAGAGGAAGAGTCTGTCCTGCCATCTCTGGGCAAGACCCGGCTGGAGCTGCCTGTCACCTGAGGTCACCAGCCTACACCCTGCTCAGTTCTAAAGGTATCAAGACACTTTCCTGCCTGCCAGAGGCAGAGGAAGGTGCTAAGGGGGACCAGAGTCCTGTCCCCCTAACTCTGGGCCCCAGGACCTGTGTGGGCAGAGCCAAAGGTGAGGAGGATGTTCCCAGTGGCTGATGGGGACTGCTGTCTGGGGACAGGCTCTCATCTTTCTGATCCCTGCACAGGAGCTTCCTCTTCTCTGCACCCCTTCAGCCCAGGGGGACCGCTGGTCTCAACAGCCAGGCGTCCCTGTGCCCTGACACACGGCTAAAGGGCCCCGTGTGCAGCTCATGGGACTCACAGAAGGGTCCAGGGGAGCCAGGCGGAGCCCGGACCAACTGGGCACCAGCTGTTCATACACCACATTCCCTGGAGCTCCCTCCTGGCTGCAGGGTGCCCCCCGAAGTCCCCTGGGTACACACCTGCCCTTGCAGGCACACACGGGGTGGAGGGGGCTGGGCTCCCCCTACGCACGCCTGCTCCTGGTCTGTGACACAAAGTCCCAGCTTGACACCAGAAGCACATGCTAGTTCCTGACCAAGGTGCCCGGTGTCCTCAACAGGACGCTGGACAAATTCCCCAAATGCAGGCAGCCTAGGTTGGGTGCCCAGTGATAGACCCAACCTAGAGGGTCCTCCCTGGGTGCACCTGCCTGGACCCTCTGGACCCCCTCCCTGCGTCCCAGCAGGTGAGCAGCTCAGTGTTCTCACACAGACCCTGGAGCTGGGCTTGTGGGAGCGACAGARCCTGGCCACCTCCCAGCTGAGGGACCTCGGCAAGCTGCTTCTCTGGCCTCAGTCCCTTCATCTAAAAAAGGGATTAATTTAAAATATATATACATATATATGTAAATAGCGAAAGATGAGTGGAGTGGGGAAGAGGRTGGGGAGGGAGGAGGGGAGGGGACAGGAGGAGCTGGGGACTGAATGAGAAGTGTGTCCCCTGCTTTTATATTTTGTCCAAATTAATCCTAACGTTATGCACMACTTAAAAGAACCAATAAAAAGACCAAAAAAATTTTAAACCCAGGATGATAGTGGTTCCTACTTCATACTGTGGGAGTGGGGATGAAATGAATCACACACGCACAGTGCTCACCACAGCGGCCGCAGGAGCGCTGAAGTGGGTCCCTAACTGAGGTACGTGCCCCCAGGCACCGGCGTCCCTAGCTGTACCCGTCAAGGTCCACCGAGGGCACCTCCTGGCCACGACACACAGGTGGCCGGGTGTATGTGCTTCCCGCAGCCCTGGAGTCAACCCATGCTCCCAGGGCGCCACCCAGAGGCGGAAGGTGACGTCCCCCCGCGGCCCCGCCCCTCACCCGCCGCCCGCCCCCGGGGCGCGCTCACCCACGCACGCATCCCGCTGCTCCTCGTARCCGGCGCTGCACACGCACTTGCCAATGGGCACCAGCCACTCGCCCTCGGCGCTGCAGTACATCTTGGGGGTGTCCCGCTCCTCCGAGTGCCGCACGCACTGGCCCCGCACCTCCACCAGCGAGGACGAGTCTGCGCCGGTCACCGCCTCCGAGAAGGCCGCCAGGTTGCGCACCATGGCGGGGCACTTCTTGTAATAGATGCGGAGGGAGAGGATGGCGAGGCAGGCGCCGATGTCCTGGAAGGCCAGGTAGAAGCCGCGCTTGCTGAGGGGACCCACGCCGCGCACCTCCGTGTTGAGCTTGAGCCGCCGCACGCCCAGGTCGGCGCCCGTGAAGCTCTCGTCGGCCGCGATGGTGTCGATTTTCAGGAACTGGCTTTCCTGCGTGCTGGAGCCCAGGTCGCGGTCCGACTCCAGGTAGTAGAGGTTGAAGGTCTCCTTGCAGGTGCCCAGCACGCCGGGCATGCTGTTGCAGTCGCGCAGCGTGAACTTGATCTCGGCGTAGACGCGCCGGGCACCGTCGCGGGGCACCCAGCTCGTGCGCAGCCAGTTGTTCTGGTTGGGGCTCATGACGTTGCACACCTGGTACGTGTGGATGGGCCGGAAGGACTCGTCCACCTCGTTGATGGAGTCCCACTGTGGACGGAGAACACAGCCTGCTAAAGAGGCCGGGGCACCCAGCCCTCGCCTGCCAGCCCCTGGGCCCGGGCCACGCACGGTGCCTTCTCATGCCCCTGGGAGAAGGCAGAGCAGCTGACCCTCAGACAGGTGGTCATAGGTCTCAGCTGCCCAGTGCCCTGCAGATGGGACCTCACAGAGGACCACAGTCCTCCTGGGAAGTGCAYTGACTTCCTGTGGATGAGGACAGGGACTAAGGTGTGAGCCCCAAGCCTGAGGTCACACAGCTAGCACCCGCTGCACTGGCACCCAGGCCCCTGACGCATGGAAACCAGCCTCCATCTCTGTATGTCTCCCCCTGTCATTCCCAGAGTGAGGGCCCTGCTGGGGGGAGTTGGCCACACTGCAGCTGCCACAGGGGTCTCAGGACCAACAGAGACTCTGCTGGCCCTGCCTGGAACCCCCAGCAGCCCCTCCTGCGCTGTGCTCCCTGAGTGCCCACCACTCCCCCAGCCCTGCTGTTCTTAYGGGTCCCCTGCCTCCCGCCCAAGGCTGGGGACTCCCAGACTGGCCTGCCTCCCACTCAGTTGAGGGTGCAGGAAGGTCAAGTGTGTGTCCTCTGTACCAGCGAGTGGCCGGGCAGGAGTGGATCAGAGATGAACCAGGTGCTCTCCCGAGCGGGGAAGCAACCCCAGCGATGGAGAAGACATCCGCCCACCATGCATCGGAGAAGGGATTAACATGCCCAGGAGGCAGAGGAAGACCCCCCAACCCAGGGGGGGAACCATCTCAACAAAAGAGGAGCCAAGGACCGGAACAGACATTTCTCCAAAGACCTACAGATGACAAATACACGTGAAGAGCTAGCTGCTCCACGCCGCTGGTGGCTGGGGAAGCAGGAAGACCACACTGGGAGCCACTTCATGGCCATTAGGATGAACGCCGTGTTTACAAAAAACAAAACCCAGAAGATGCCCAGTGTGGGTGAGAATGAAGAAGCAGGACCCTCCCGCACACGGGCGGGATGCAAAATGTGCAGCCACGGTGCAAAACAGCTCGGTGGTTCCTCCAGATGTTAAAAATAGAATGGCCACGGCACCCCGCAATTCTGAGTACACACCCCTGAGGACTGAAAGCAGGGTCCCCTGGAGATCACTTGTACACAKGGTGTTCACAGCAGCATCACTCACCACAGCTGAGATGTGCCGCTGTGGGTGCAGCTCAGGGGTAGAGCCCTTGCCTAGCCCGTGCAAGACGCTGGGCTTGATTCCCAGCATCGACCCCCCMAAAAGAATCCCAAACCAATAGCTAAACTGGAAGCCCAGATGTCCACCAACAACTGGATGGATGAACAAGATATGGTGTATGCACACAAGATGTGCATAGAGCTGAATAAAAAATAGAATATTATTTAGCCTTAAAAAAGAATGAAATTCTGATACCTGCTAAAATATAGGTGAACCTTGAAGAGATTACAGTAAATGAAATGTGCCCGGGACAAAAGGACAGGTGGTGTAGGACCTCACTTAACAAAGCTCTTGGGTTAGTCGGATTCATAGAGGTAGAAACTAGCAGGGGGCTGGGGCGAGGGGGAGTGGAGACACCACTTAGTGGGAACAGAATTTGGTTTTACAAGATGAAGAGAGTCCTGGAGACGGACAGTGGTGACGGTCACACAGGGATGTGAGTGCACTGRACGCCGCTGACCTGTACAGTTAGCAGTGGATGCGAGCAAACTTCAAGTTGGGTCTATTTTACCACAAGGGAAAAAGGGCAGGGCTGGGTGCGGCTGGGTGGCCGAGCGCCTGCCTGGCTCACACGCACAGGGGCCTGCGTCCCCCCCGGGACCCCACAAAACACACAAAGACACAAACACAGAGAACAAACCCTTCATGAGGGGCGGGATGCTCAGCGGGTGGGGAGCGCCTGCCAGGCAACCTCAGGGCCTGCGTTCACCCCAGAAAACCAACCAAACAGAAAGAGTGAAGATGTCACACAGATGCCCTCACCTTCAGTGCTTCCCGGCCACGTGCAGGTGGAGCGGGTGACCACCTAGGGACGGGGTTTCCAGGCACGTGGGCAAGTCTCAAGGGCCAGCCTGGGCAAAACAGGGCTGTGCCCGCTCAGCCGCACTGCTGGCAGGCCAGAGCGGACCCGCAGCTGAACCCAGAGGGCTGGCGGCAGATGGTGGGGTCGGGCTCCGCCCTCGACCTTCTCTTCGGGTCTTCCCGTGCAGCTGTCCTTGAACTAGAGATCCCATTGCCTACCTACAGGGGAGGCCTGAAGACCACCTCGTGGGGCTCTGAGAGCCTGGGGGCTCAGCTTGTTCCCCCAGTGCAGGGGGACCTGGGTCTCCTGACTGTCACAAGCCCCTCCGTCCCTCCTTGTCCCTGCCAGGTGTGGTCCCAATCTTGGTGCCCAGATCTATACATCAGGGCTCAGACAGACCCCGATTCAGCCCGGCTTCAGACCGTGCCCTGAGAACATGCCTGCAAAGGGCTGAGCTCAGGCCTGGCCCCCAGAGGCCCCTAACTGGACACACACACGAGCCGGAGCTGGCAGACTCCCCCCACCTCCCTCCACCTCCAGGGCAGTGTGGGAGCAGGGCCTTGTCTCTAGGGACCCAGGGAGCTTCCTGCTCCCCCGCCCCAAGAAGGAGCCCTGCCCTGTACCGCACTCTGCAGCCAGAGCCTCTGGGCAGCACTGTGCCACATCTGGGGTTAAAGTCATGGTCACAATTAATGGAACACCAGAGAGCCTGCCAGCTGCTCCCTGTCTGTCTCCTGCCAGGGGCCTGGATAAATTAATCGGCTGGATCTGGGTCCACTCCAGCCACCCTACCAGTGCCAGCAGCTTGGCCAGCCCTGCCAGCCCCAGGAGCCACTGCGAGGCCTGGCACAGGGACACAGCCAGTCCCCTTCTCCACAGGGCACCCTGCTCCACACCAGGGGCCACTCCCACCCCGGTGGCCTCTCAAGCTCTGGCCGCTAACCCTGGCTCTCCTCCCCGAGCCACGCTCTCTTCCTGGGACAGAACACAGTGAACCAGCTGCGTGTCCCCCGGAAGTCACATCCTCTGAGCCTGGGGTTCCTCATCAGTGAAATGGGGTTGCCGATGGCCTCCGTTTCTGCCTCCTCCAGGAGGTGAGGATCAGGTGTGTCCCCTCACCTAAGGCAGGGCGATGAGCAACGATTCCCCAGGCCAGGTGCAGAAGTCCCTGGGGGCAGATGTCCCTGGGGGCAGATGAGGGAGGACGTAGCCTGGCAAAGCACACAGCCCCRGGGCCTAGATGTCCCCCCAACCTGAGCAGAGTGGCCTGGCCTCTCAGAGCTTCTCACTGGTGAAATTCACCCCCCATGGACAGCTGCCCCGACCCATGGCCGACCCCTGTGATAAACCGGTGGTCGAGGCCAGGTGAGTGACCTGCCCGAACCCTCAGTCCCAGGAGGCAGAGCCTGGCCCAAGGAGCCCAGCTCCCTTGCCCTCTAGGCTGTGCCACTGCCTGGTACCGGGGCTGGGGACAGCCCTGCCTGGCCTCTGCACCCGGGCTGCTGGGCGGACTCCAGGGAGGGACAGAACCTCAGGGACCCTCTGCAGGAGTGTCACCTGGAAAGCGAATCAGACAGAAGAGGCCTGGCACCCCCCAGCACTCCAGACAGGGACTCCAGACAGCAGCCCCTTCACCTCTCTGGGCCTCCACTCTCTTTGGATCTTGTGACGCTGAGACTCTGACTCACGGCCTCCCCCGGCTCCCGGAGGGACGACTCCGGCCCGTCACTCACCCCGTGCGCCGGGTACGTGAGCCAGCCCCAGTCCCCGTGGATGGTCGACGTGTCCAGCAAGTTCACTGTRAAACAGGAGACGGGAGGCGTCAGGTCCCTGCGGCCCTCCTCCCAGCCCCCAGCCCAGGCCCCCTCCCCGGAGGCCTCCTGCAGAAAGCCACCTGCCAAACTCCGGGTGCCCAGGGGCCAGGGATCCTGGCTGGTGGCCAGAGGCCAGCCTCGGAGCCTGGGAGCCACGGGGAAGGCCTCCTCCTCCAAGGCTCGGCCTCCTCCTGTTAAATGGGGGGTGGCGGTGGCGCCTGTCTCCCGGGGGTCACGGTGGCACCAAACCATCACTCTGTGAAGTCAGACCTCCCCCTCGGGGACGGGCCCCAGCTTCAYGATCGCCAGTGTCCCCCAGGAAGGGCCTGGCATCTCCCGCCACCCTGAGCACAGTGACGTGGGGGACCTAGAAGAGGAGGCGCAGCTCTCCGTGTGCACCTACTGTGTGCCGACTCCGTGAGGGGAGCTGTGGGCCCGTGCGAGACCTGGYGGAGGAGGCCTGTGCTTTCCATTTTATGGAGGAAACGTCCGGCCCAGGACCTGGCCCAGGCCYCCAGGGGCAGGGGTGGCCTCCAGAACCTCTCCTCGCCCCACCACACCACACCCCACCCCTGGGAGCCGCCCAGCCAGAGGGAGCCCCAGTGTGGACGGAGCTCAGACCCAAAGGGCAGGCCCGTTCTCAGGCCCTGTGTCCAGGGGACAGTTCAACAAGGGAAAGGGCCCACCTCTGGGCTCTTGTGACAACCCAGCCACTTATTAGCAAGTAGCCTTCCCTCCTTTCACCCTCAATTTCCTCATCTGTAAAATGGGTTAATAATTCCTAAAGGTTAAGAAGCCATCTGTAGCTGGGCATGGTGGCACGTGCCTGAAATCCCAGCGGCCCAGGAGGCTGTGGCAGGAGGATCACAAGTTGGAGGCAGCCTCTAACTTAGGAGCCTCTAAGCAACTTAGCGAGACCCTGTCGCAAAATAAAGAATCAAAAGGGCAGGGCTGGGGTGGTAGAGCGCTTGCCTAGCCTGAGTGAGGCACTGGGTTCRATTCTCAGGATCACATATAAAGAAATTAGAGGTCACACATAACAAATTAGAATTAAAAAATATTTTTTTTAAAAAAGAAATTAAAGGTCCATCAACAACTAAAAACATATTTAATAAATAAATAAAAATGGCAGGGGGTGTGGCTCAGTAGTTAAGCATCCCTGGGTTTAATTACACACACACACACACACACACACACACACACACACACACAATCGTCTATGAAGGCTGGAGCCAGTGCCTGAGACAAGCCAGTCCTTCTCAGGGCTAATTTCCTTGCTCCAAGTCCTGCCCCTCTGTCCTCTCTCCCTGTCCCGGGTGCCTATTCACTCACTTACGCAGAAAAGGGGGCACAAAACTGGAAACCGAGGATGGATCCCAGCTCTGCTCTGCCTGCTGTGTGTTCTTAGGTAAGTCCCTTCACCTCTCTGAGCCCCTGTTTCCTTTTGGTCTAGTTGGTGACGGTCAGGAGAGGGCATCTGGCTCCAGTCTTAACACCTTCCCAGTTTCAGGGCTTCCATGCACCTCTTCTCCAACAGCCTCGGGCTGCCAGCCACCCTAATCCCGAGCTTGGGCGGGTCACAGAGGGTTAAAACCGGAGCCTCTGGGAGCTTGGCGGCAGGGGAGCCTGGGATGTGCGTAGCTGGAGCCCACACCTCAAAGGTGGAGACCAGTGTCCTCAGGAACTGTTGAGTGACAAGCTCTTGTTTGCCGATTTCCTTCTTCCTCTCACCTTCCCACCCCATGGTCAGGGATCCTGGAGAGGGGACTGGCAGACAGAGGGGCCTCGGTGCTCCTCCCCGCACCCCAGGGGCTGGGGGATCAGGGGAGGGGTCTCCCCACACCCGCCCCACACCAGGGGCACAGGCGAGAGGAGAAGGCTTCCCGCCTGCCTCCCTCCCTCCCTCTCAGGCAACGTGGAGAAAACTGGGTCAGGCAGCTCCCTCCTCCCGCTGGCTGGTGGGAGGGGGAGGGGGCCGCACTGCAGTCTCCCCCAGACCAGCAGGGCCCAGTTTGGAGAGAGGGTGGGACGGAGACACCTACGGACCCCCCACACACACACACACCGGCATCCCAGACCCTTCTCCTGGCAGGGAATGGATTCAGCTCTAAGGAGCCTCTACCTTGCAGCAACCCGAATGAACGTCCACCACCCGGGTCCTCCCCTCGGCACACCCTGACTTCAGGGACACTTTCTAGGTCCTTCTCTCCTCTAGGAAGCGCCACCCCATCAGTGGCTGATTCTCAACCAACCAGCCAAGGGGCTTGGAAAATCCAAAGATAAGTCAAAAGTCAATTCCGTGGGATTCAGAAAGGCCTCTAGAATCCCAGAGCTGTGGGTCTCGATTCTCTCTAGGCCCTTCTCTGTCCCCTGCCCCTCCTCTCCCTCCAGTCCACCTGCACGGCCTCCTGCCCCTGGCCACAGGTGAGGCTGCAGAACACTTCTCAGGACCCACCAGAGGCTGGATGGAATCCAGCACACTCGCCTGGCCACAGCCCCAGTCCCCTGGAGACAGAGACCTTCAGCCACCACAGTTGTCCCCTCTCCTGTGTCTTGCACTGTGCAAGAAGGCAACTGACCCCCTGCCGGGCCTGCGTCCCCACTTGCAAAACACGAGGCCGGGACCCCCGTGGTCTCCCAGGGCCCTGCAGAGAAGCAGCTCCAGACCCCTCCAGGCCTCAGTTTCCTCATCTGCAAGACGCCCACGGGCACCCCTCCTGGGCTGGCCAGGCCGGGCAGTTCTAGGGGGACCAAATGGGTCCTTCTCCTGCTCTGAGCAGCACAGATGCTTCCTAAGCCGCGCTGTCGACGGTGGAAGGCATTATGCGATTTCTTTTTCTCTCCGGCACCGTCACCTTCCTCCATTCCATTTCGCTGAGACTAATACTTAAATTGATTTACATTCCCCGAGGACACAGCGCATGATAGTGAGGCTGGAGAATTCGGGGTGGCCAGGGGATGTCAGCCAGGATGCAAACACCTTGGAGATCACCCCAAAGTGGAGGAWAGTCCACTCCCAAGAGCACTAAGGGGTCTGAGGCTGGGGCTTGGGGACACCTCTGCAGGGGCAGGGCCCTTCCCTGACCCACGGCTGCACAGCAGGGCCACTGTGAGCAGCCTGGTGCCAGGTGCTTGGCCAGCTGGTCCACCCTCACCTCTGCTGGACCCTGGGTGGGAACAGTCTCCTCCCTGGGTTCCAGTGCTCTCCCTTGCCTGCTGGGGTTCTGGTCAGTCCAGGGACAATGCCAGGAAAACTCCTGATGTCCCAGGTCGTATCAAGCCCCAGGGCTCCGTCAGAGGCTGTCTCCCTTGGGTGTGTGACCCCTGCCCGGCTGCGGGCACTCTGCAGATGGCCGTGAACTCTGGCCTGGGATGATCCTCCCCCCACCCGCCTTCTCCCAGACCTGCCACTTCTCCAACCTGCTCCTCTCCTGTCCTGGGCATGGGGACCTGGGAGAGTCTCCGCGGGGCTCTGGGGCTGGCAGCCTGTGATTCTGGGAAGTGCCGGCTCCTCCCCGGAGGGAGGGTTGAGGCCAAGAGCTGGGGYGCACCTCCCAGCTCCCAGAGCTTGCTGTGGGCCTTCTCAGAATCCCCACCCCAACCCTGGGGAAATGTCAGCTCAGGCCATAGCACTGAGGGACCCCAGGCTCCTGGCTCCCCAATTCTGTCCTCTTCCCTACTCACCGAGCATCCCCAGCCACTCCCCCCAGCCGGCCCTGCCCTGTCCTGGCACCTCACCTCTCGACTACTGCAGTGGCCCCTGCTCTCTGCTGGACCCAGCTTCCTAGAGGACGAGGACTTCCTCTATGTGACAGTGTTCGTGCACATGCATTTCAGAGGGCACRAATGCCATTTGAGGGTCTCCTCGTGATATGTTCATGCACAGATGTCTCGTATGTTCGTGTGTACACSTGTGTGGACATGTCTGCCCACGTGAACCGGCCGCATTGCTGCATGTGGGGGACTGTCCTGTGTGGGGTTGTCCATGTGTGTGTCTGTGGCCAGGGTCCATGTGCGTGCGTGCTGCGGGGCCAGGCGGGATTCTGTGTGCTGTCTGCATGTGACAGTGGCTCTGTGGCCCGAGTGTGTACGACGAGCAGCGCTGGCTCTGGAGGTCTGTCCAGCCTGGACCAGAACCCAGCTCCAGCCCCCAGACATCAGTTCCACAGCCCTCCGACAGTGCCAGGTCCTGTGTCCCCTGGGCAGTGCTGTGCAGCACAGGGGACGGACGGAGCCAGGGAAGCAGGACCCGCTGGCACCGTGGGCTGGACCTGGACTGTCTAGTGGGGCTGAGGGGTGGGGGAGCCCTGGCTGCYGCCCTCAGCTCTCCTTGTCCCTCCTCCCACCAGAAGTCACCCCCTGGATCCTTTTGGTCACACTCATACACCCCCACCTCCTAACTCGCCCCTACCCTCTTCCTCCAGGCCCCCGAGTGACAGGGCCACCCTGGCTTTGACCCAGCGAGACCCTGCCTCAGTCTCTCTGCCCCCAGCCCTCGCTCCATGGTCCTTACAAGGYGGCTCCTCCTGAGGCTGCCTCTCCTGCTGCTGCAGCCACTGCTGTCCCCTCTCCCCACTYGCCAGCCCTTGCCCTGCTCCCAAGGCTCATTTGCAGCCCCTTATTCCTGCGTCCCCAGCGCCCCAACCTGTTCTCTGGTCCTTCTCAGTTCGTGGTCCCCGGATTCYGATGACATTCCCAGCCCCTTTTCCTTCAGCCCTCTGAACCTTGACCCCCATTCCTGTCCCTCTGTCCCCGAGTGCTTGCCACTCTGTTCTGTCCTCTGTCCCCAGCCCCAGCCCCTGCCCTCTCTGTCCCCTCTCTCCTCATACCCTTTTCTGCTTTCTGTCCCATCCTGCACCTTGTCCCCAAGTCCCATCCTCAGTTCTCGGTCCCCAGATCTGCATCCCTCCATCCTGTCCCAGCGCCTGGTTCCTGGGTCCAGCCCCCTGTCTTATCCCTCGGTCCCCGTCCTCAAGSCCGCGGGTCCCATCCCCACCGCCCTGTCCCTCCGCCCCAGTCTCTGCCCCCKACCCCTGCCCGCCCGGCCGAGGGCTCCGGCGCTCGGAGCTCGGGGTCGCGGCCAAGGAAGTTGAGCCGCAGGCAGCGCGCGCCGCGCCCCCGCCCCCGCCCCGCCGCCGCCGCTCACCTTCGCCGCGCGCCGCGGACACGCAGGTGGCCGCCGCCGCCGCGGCCGTGACGACCCAGAGCGCGGGGGGCAGGCGGCCCCGGGCGGGGGCCATGGCGGGCGGCGCCGCGCACCCTCGGGCTCGGCGGCGGCGGCGCGCTCCTCGTCCCGCACCGGCCCCGGCGCCCGGCGCACACCCGGCTCAGCCGCACGCGGGCACCCGCGCCCGCCGCCGCCGCCGCCGCCGCCCCGGGCGGGGGCCGGCCCGTCACGGCGCCGAGCCAATCAGCACCGAGGCGGGGGGACGCGGGGCCCCGCGGACACCGGCCCGGCCCCGCCGCCGCACGTGCGCACGCTCGCACCTTCGCGCGCCCCCGCGCCCGCCGGCCCCACGTGGACCGAGCAGCAGGACRCCCGCGACACCCGGCCCACAGACCCGGGGGATGGCCCCTGAGGACATCCGCCAGCACTCCCCTCCCACGCACGAGCCTCAGACACTCCGAGCGCCTGGCGAGGTGACAGCAGGCCCACGCTAGTTCACGGGCAGAGGCGCAGAGGCTGGGCCAGAGAGAAAGTCCAAGGCACTTTTAGTTTAAAAAAAAAAAAAAAATCCTGCGGCCCCAACCAAAGGACTAGACAGTGGCCYCCCTGGTTTATGGAGGCCTGAGTGGGTGGTGGCCTAAGGCACCAGACAGACAAGCTCTTAAATCCTGGCTGTGTGACCTTGGGCAAATTTCTTAACCTCTCTGAGCCTCAACTTTCAGGTGTGTAAAGCTGGAATAATGGTGCCCAGTCCTGGGGCCGTTTTGAGAATTAAATTAAAAGGTTCCGGTGAGCCCCTGGTGCACTGCCAGGCACCTAGCCAAGTGCCCAGCAATGGCAGCTGCTCTCTAGTGCTGGGACCTTCCACACCTCCAGTTCCGTCCCAGGAGCAGGGGTCTCATCCTGGACAGGCTTTGTGGTGGGGTGGGGGTGGGGCGGGGAGATAGGGCTCCCCCCTGGGCTGGACTTTCCATCCCCAAGTCCCCATGCAGCCAGAGGACCCAGCGGCCCAATCAGCAGGGAGCAGAGCTGCAGCCTCCGGYTTATGGCTTCAGCAGACTGGCACAGCCGTTGTTCAGCCCTCTGCCATCACTCCCAGCTCCTGTGGTCGTCACCTGGGAAGACTTGGGGTCCCTGACTGGAGGTCCCAAGAATGATAAAGACCATTTGGGGAGCATGTGCCGGGTGCCAGACGTCTTAGGAGCTTTCTTCACTTGTCTAGCTTAAACCTCAGCCGGCCTGCAGGGAGGGGCCGCCAAGGACACCGACACTGAGAAAGGCTGTCACTCACTCGCTGAAGGTCACACAGTGGGCCAGGTGCTGGCGAGCTGTCAGCCCAGGTCCACTGACTCCAAAGCCCGTGGCTTCCCTCTCCGTCTTTCTTCCCACGGAAACCGGGAAGGCAGCTCCATTCCAGAGCCTCTTCCTAGCAGCTCAGACCGACTGCCTCCAAAATGCAGTGAGCCTCCTGTCACCAGAGGCATCCAAGCAGATGCCAGCCAGAGGTTGTTCACAGATGCTGTGACGGGGGCAGAGGAGCTGATTCCACTGGATCCAGAGTGACACATTCAAATGCCCACGTGAAACAGGTGGGGGTCCTCCTGCAGCCGACAGGGAGGGTCCCAGCTCCAGCCCGWGGCCCTGGAGCCCAGTTTTCTGCATCTTCAGAGCAGTCGTGAATCTAGAGCTTTCCGGGGCGTCTCCTGACTTTTAAACTTAATAGCTAAGGCAGACTGGCTTTCTTTCTTTCTGTTTTTCAGTCTGGAGGGGCAGAACCCCGGGGCAGGGTGGGGCTCTACCACCCAGCSATCTCCCCAGCCCTTTGTAAAATKTTATTTTGAGACAGGGTCTGGCTAAGTTGCCCAGGTTGGCCTTGAACTTGGGATCCTCCTGCCTCTGCCTCCTGAGAAGCTGAGGTTACAGGTGTGCGCACTGGCCCGGGCCTAAAGGGGGCACCAGGCCGYGGGGAGCAGTGGAAGGAGCAGCCTCAGCCCATCGGCCCCCAGGCTGCGCTTCAAGACTCCTCAAATGAGAGAGGCCGAGGCTGGGAAGTCGCCCCTGGAGCATCAGGAAAAACTCAGACTGTGTGAAGGTCACGGTCATACGTGCCTGTGGGAGTCCCCTACCCCAGCCACAGGGAGAAGCCAGTGAACGCAGATCCTATAGAAATGGTGGGGCCCTTCCCCTCCTCCTCTCAGGACCGAGAGCCTGGGCAGGGCCAGGACTGAGGGGTGGGAAGCCCTGAGAGGGGCCGGAGTGGGATTTGAGATAAACTCTGCCCCGCCCACTGGATTCTGCGCAGGGAGGCAGAGTGCACAGCAAGGGGCTGGCTGGGTCTTCCTGCTGCTCATGAGGTGCCCTGGGAGTATTTGTTGAGTGACTAAGTGACCCATGAACAGACATCCCAGAGGCCCCCATGCCACTGACCAGGGACGCGGGGCTGGTGTTGCTGGAGGCTCTTTGTTTAGGTTGCCCTCAGGTGCGCTGTGGTATCCACCGCTGGGTTCCTCCAGGACCCTCCGAGGCTGAACCCGAAGCAGCTCATGGAGCAGGCACRTTGGGCTGGGGGTGGGCAGGGCTGGAGGTGGCCTCTCAGGGCAGCCACCAAGCCAGTCCTGTGCCTGCTCCCAGGCCCTCCTACACCCACCGTTTCCCTCTCGGGTGGGGACAGGAGTCCAAAAACCTGTCTTCTCCCTGCACCTTTCTGAGCTTCCGTTTCCCAGCTGGGAGCCAAGGACCGTGTCAGGGGGGGTGCGGTGAGGTGTGAGCGGGTATGCAGGTGGGGACTGAGACTGGGGGGCACCGCTGTTTTAAAGGAAGAGCTGGAGCTGAGCGGCTCTGGAACCCCAGGGGCAGCAGTTCAGGCACAGGCAAGAGAAGATGCGAATGACGGGGTCACCATTAAGTCCCTGCCCATCCCAGAGTCACCCTGGCCACTGCCATGAACCTCTGGGTGCCCTACGCTGCTTACTCAGAGCGGGACCTGGGCTCCCACCAAGAACCCTTAGCAGACATCTCCATCCTGCACCATGCTCCCTGCGCTCAGCGGGTAGGAGGGGCGCAGGCCACTGGCACGGAAATCTCTCCTCCCCTCTGGCTGGAGGACAGAGCCGGCAGGGGAGAGCTCTCTGGAAGAACCTGGATTCCTAACATAGGGCCCAGGCSGCCCAGTGGGTTTGCCCCTCGGGGCCTCAGTTTGTCCATTGATAACAGCCTGCAGTGGGCATGGGACCAGGGGTGGCTGCTGGGTCCCGGGTAACAGAGGTGCCTTTGCAAAGCTGCCTGCCAGAGGAGAGGCAGCTGGGGAAGTGGCCTCTGTCCCACAGAGACTTCCACCCAGCCGTGATGCATGTGTGTAAACTTTGTCCTCCACCCCGACGTCCAGGCGGAGGTCCAAGACAGAAATACAGCCTGTGAGCCAGCACAGCAGTGCAGGACTGTAATCCCAGCGACTCGGGAGGCTGAGCCAGGAGGATTGCAAGTTCAAGACCAGCCTCAGCCACTTAGACACTGTCTCAAAAATTTTAAATAAATAAATAAATAAAATGGATTGTGTGCATGAGGCCCTGCAACTTCCAGTATTGCAAAAAAGAAGAGAGAGAGAGAGAGAGAGAGAGAGAGAGAGAGAGAGAGAGAGAGAAAGAAATACAGTGTGTGCCACATATGTAATTTGAATTTTTCCAGTATCTCATTAAAAATTAAATGTAAGAATGTATTTATTGACTGAATGAATGCTGCTTGGCACGAAGTATTAATTTATTAATCACTTATTTGGCAATCATGTAGTGAGCCTGTGACACCGGGCCAGGTGCTAACCTAAGCTGGGGGACCACACACACACACCTGGTCACTTATATAAGCACCAAAACTGTAAAATAAAATTTGTAATTTAGGAAAAAAAACCCTTTCTTTTTGGACTGGAAATTGAACCGAGGGATGCTCTACCACTAAGCTACACCCCCATCCCTTTTTTATTTTGAGACAGGGTCTCACTGAGTTTCAGAGGCTGGCATTGAACTTGGGATCCTCCTGCCTCAGCCTCAGAGTCGCTGGGATTACAGGTGTGCGCCACCACGCCCTCTGTCCAGAATATATCTGAAAAGTCATTTATAAGCATAAAATCCTGAATGTCATTTGGCCCTTTCTCAGTGGCATGGAGTCATCATTATGAACAAAGTGTCATCGGCTGGCTGTGGCGAAGGACCCAGGGACGAGGAGGTGGGAACCCGGCTGGGGAGGTGGGAGACCTGTTTGCCCTGCACCCAATCACCCTGGGTGCTCTGCCTTGTCTCTTCCCTCCGGCTGCTGCTTGTGCTGAAGGGAGACAGTCTCTACCTCCTCCTAAATAGCTTCTCTAATCTCATGCAGGTCGAATGGTGTGTAGAGCAGGAGTCCATGGGTTCTGAGTGAGGGACGCGGCCAGGACTAAGAATGAGGTCAGTGTCCGTGGGGGAGGCATCCTGCAGGTCCCTTCTGCCCCTTCCTGGCTCTTCTCGGGATATTTGCTCTCAGGATGTTCACTCTTGGGTTGGGGGTAAGTGAGGTGTTGTCATAAATACATAAGAGGCTTATTAATGGCCGGGCATGCACAGACTAATTGCTTCCTCCTGTTTACACACAATCAATCACTCGCAGCTTTGGAGCCACTGGCAGAGCGGAGCAGGAAGATGCCCGGGAGGGGACGGGCCCGGGCGGCTCCATCCTTCAAGTTCAAGGCTGCCCTGTCCTAAAAAACAAAGCCAAACCGTCCACCCCTCGTTCCCCTGGCCGGCCGCCCTCTCCCCCTCCAGCTTCCCAGCGGTCAGCTCCCAGGCCGCCTCCTCTCTGCTCACCTGCACCCTCCCCGCGTTCCAAACGCCACCAGCCGCACTTCCTCTCTGCTGGGTGCACCTGGACCTCCCAGCCCTGTGGGTCACACCACCAGATGTCAGGAGGGCCCGCTTTTGGCCCGTCCCCGACACACTGGCTGGCTGAGCCCCCACCGCCTCGCGCAGGGCGGCTGTGGTGGCACTTTAAGGCCCACATCCCTTCACCCTGCCAATATCGGTGCCCTCCTGGAGGCTGAGGCTGCTCTGTGGGTAAAGACCCACGTGGTCCCCAAGCCCAATGTCCTGTCCAGATGGCCTGGACCCTCCCTTGCTGCCCTTCTTTGC